AGCGTTAATTAGGTCGTTCTTAAGCGACTTAATACACAAATTGAAAACTTAAGAATTGGAAATTCTGACATTTTAAGCCATGTTTGAAAAGTGTTACAGGGCTTTCCCTCCTTCACAAAGAACAAATGGCAACTACACTCACATGGGTTCTGCCACCGTTAACAGATCTCTAAAATTCTTAGAAACAGGTGCAGATGTTATTGTCATTGGCACAAGGCACCTAGAAATGTTATGGATTTCTAAGAGTAGACATCAACCCACACCACCTACAGCTACACTCACAGCTGATGGATCCCAGATCCCAGTTTTGGGTTATTTCAATGCCACCTTGATGCTTGGCAACAAGTCTTGCATTGCCAGCATTTAGGTGTATGAGAGTGTTCAGACAGTTCTACTCTCCCTCAGCCATAGTCAGGAGTTGGCCCTAATTTCGCTTAATTTCTCTAAGCTGATCAAAGAAGTTACATGTTTACAGGTGTGCTGAGCTACCCATTCTAAAAAGGAGACCCCCTCTGCAGCACTGGAATATTTACTCACAGAGTTCAGAGATGTCTTAGTGTCAAAGACAGACCTGAAGATAGCTCCACTCAAGCCGATGATGGGTTGCCTCATGCGGATCCACCTAAAGGATGATGTACCTTTTGTCATACACACAACCAGGCCAATCCCCTTCGCATTTCAGAGTCAAGTTAAGGAGGAACTGGACTCTGGTTCACTGGGGGAATTATCACCCATGCCAGGGATAAGCCTTCTGAATGGTGCCTACCCGATGGTTGGAGTGCGGATAACAGTAGACTTGACCAAGCTCAACAGTTAAGTGTCCCGCCCTACACATCCTTCTACACATTTTGCAGTTGTCCACAGTGTTACACCTGCAAAGTATTTCGCCATAGTGGATACCCTACACACATATTAGCAAATTCAACATAACGAGGAGGATCATCTTCTCACCACTTTCATCACGCCATACGGAAGATACAAGCACTGCGGAAGTCCATTGGGCTTTGCAGCCTCTGGTGATACCTTATGTCTCTGCAGTGATATGTTCTTACAAGATATACAAATTTCGTTAAGGTTATAGATGACATCCTCCTGTATGACGATTTTCCTACAAACTTACAGATGATTAATCATACGGCATAACACTGAACAGGGATAACTTTGTGGTTGCTGCCCCTAGTGTTAACTTCTGCAGCTACATTTCCGCTGAGGCCATCTCTGCAGATGGAAACAAAGTCAGATCTGTACGGGACTTTCCAAAGCCGATATCCTGACTGATATTCGATCTTTCATAGGCCTGGTAAATCAGCATGTGGAATTCATACTATACACTGCAGCAATGGCTCAGCCTCTACATCCTTTGATGAGCCCCAAGTACTCATTCACCTGGACTCCGGACCATGACAAGGTTTTCAGTCGTGTCAGAGAAGCTCTGATGTCACCACCTAACTTGGCACCTTTCGATCCTGCCGTATGCCTCAGGCCTCTATGGAATTGATTACGCCCTCCTCCAAGACCACAGCCGGGGACGGATGCGTCTGGTTCAGTGTGGCTCACATATCCTAACAGATGCTGAGACTCATTATGCTACTTTCGGACTGGAGATATTAGCTCTTGATTAGACTATCCTCAACTCATATACATTGGATGCTGTCGAGAATCCCCGCATCCAACAGTAGAACGACAAAATGTCACCTTTCATCTTTATTGCCATACTAAAACATGTTTCATTTGAATACTCGAACCATAACATACCTCTGTACACTTGTTTTATGGACATGTCAAAAGATTTCGATAAGGTTTGCCTTGCTTTTATTTTTGATGTACAATGCTGAGTTCCAGGATATACCCTCGAGATGCTTTGATACTATTAGGCAAATCAGAGAATGAGCATTAGAGGTGAAAAATCTCAGATGAATTCAAAGTCATATGTGGGGTCAAACGAGGGTCCCCATTATCACCGTATCTCTTAAATATTTATATGAAGAATCTGCCAAAAAGGATAAACAAGAATAAAATAGGCTGCATAATAAATGACCAACTAATAAACCATCCCTTTTATGTATATTTATATTTATATAGTACTCAGTCTGTCTCTGGCAGGTTTACAGTATCTTGTCAACACCTGCACTGCAGTGAACCTCATTATGAATGTTAAAAAGAAAAGGTATAATAGTTTTTGATCGGAATCAATAATATTGATACACAATTGACAATCGCAGTGAATAATCAGAACATTGAGTTTGTTAACAGATAGTAAATACATGGATTTTAACATTACCTCAGAAAATGATGACAGACATATAGAGTCTATGTAGTATTATGCAATAGGTCAAATGCAGTACTTCAAAGTTACTTGAGATGTAGCAACGAGGTTAAATATCTCCTTTTCATGAGTTTCTGTAAATCTTGCTATTGCATGTCATTAATATTAAAGGCAGGCCTATCAGATCTGAGAAAGCTGAAGGTGTGCTGCAATGACAGCATCCCTTTTTAGTCCAAGAAGAATAAACAGTTTAGTGTAAGCTACTTCTGCGTTCAGCATGGCTTTTCCACCTTAAACGAAAGACGTAAGGCGATAGACAGGTTAATTAAATAATGCAAACTATCGAGCACTACTCCTGTAATAAGTTTAATGAATGTGAAATATTTTTACAACTGCAGTCTCAAAAATATGGTAATCAATTGCATATGTTTAATCATTTATCTTAATCAGGTTTTTAGTCTTGCATATCTATTTCTGTTTCGGATTTCTACATGTGAACGTCTTGTTTATATTTCGTATGAGTAATAAGCTGTAATTTACACATAATGAAATATAAAACAAGACGTTCACATGTAGAAATCCGAAACAGAAATAGATATGCAAGACTAAAAACCTGATTAAGATAAATGATTAAACATATGCAATTGATTACCATATTTTTGAGACTGCAGTTGTAAAAATATTTCACATTCATTAAACTTATTACAGGAGTAGTGCTCGATAGTTTGCATTATTTAATTAACCTGTCTATCGCCTTACGTCTTTCGTTTAAGGTGGAAAAGCCATGCTGAACGCAGAAGTAGCTTACACTAAAC